ATCCAAAGATTTCTCGGTCGCTCGTAGAGTTGATAAAACCGCGGGTTTATAACTGTTTCGATCCATCTCATATGGCTCGTATTTAAATTGAGCTCCGGTGAAACTATTACTATTCGGTTATTTTTATACACGATATGTTGATACGTTTTATCCGACACGGTATCGGACCGCACGTCGAAACAAATAGATTTCGCAAAAGACAAGTTCAAACAATTTGGTCCATCAGTAAAGGGTCGGTTATAATGTTAATCAAATATTGTTAAACCGTACGATGTATAATTCACACTCGGTAAATCTAAACCAATTCCGTGTGTTTTTGTACACCGCGGAGGGGAAAAAACCGTTGGCCGCCGAATTAATCACAAACAACACCAATCAATAAACAAGAGAACATTTTAAAAGGCATTTCTCCTGGGAGCACTGCATAACTGCAACGTATCGTTCCGATATTATATTTTATACTCTATCCTGTGCCACAACTACAAAATAGGAGGCCCGTGTGCGGTAATTATATTGGGCCCCTTCCTAGGATTTATTTTTGTTCAATTTAAGTATTATATCAATTATTTTAGGTTTTAAAACACGTTTCACATCAGTTAGTGTATGATATATGTATATATATATATATAAACATCAAACTAAATACCTATAACTGTTGTATATTATACTTCACTACATATTTATATAGTAAATTAATTTAAGTAGTTTAGTTACGTATATTGTATGCCTACTCAAATACTCAATGGACTCATTGTTAAATAAATATTATATTATTCTAAAATATTATAATAACCTTATCTGAATTTTAAAAAATTTTCTTTTTATTATTAAATAATTGTGCGTTTGTGAAGTGTAGTTTATTTCAGGCTGAGACTAGGGGGCATTCCCTCCAAATTTATGTAAGGCTTGGGGCCCGTGTGAGCGACGCACTCTGCACACCCGGTTTTTGCGGCATTGATTCCATCAATTATGCGATACGCAGTGCTCTATAGGGGATTACCGATTGCAATAAAAACACATTTGACAAATTATGTCTCGATAACAAAAGAGGGATATACGAGTAGTGTGCCAACGAAAATTTATATTCGACATACGTGTACTCAAAGCCGTGAAGCGTTTCACTTCCGATTCAATGTTATATTCAAGCCATTCCGATATTTCTCAATTTATTGAAGTCATAAAGAATTTTCAACGTGATATTAAATACTGGAATTAGAAATATTGGAACGTTATCAAAGCTGACGCGTAGAAAAAATATTATTTATCAGTAGGGTTCGGATTTGAAGGCAGGAGCCTTTTTTTTTTTTTAATAATAATAACAGAAAAAAAATTTTATATTAAAATGTGTTTTACTTAATATCCAAGACGATGGATGTATTTTTTTTTGCTTTTTTTACTTAAAATTAATTTTTTGTATTTGATTTTCAATCGATTTAAACATTTTTTACGCATCTTAGGTATTATCGGTACAAATCGATAAGTGCTTGTGAAGACGGTGCATTGTCGATGTTATGTTTAAAATTATTAGTAATCTTAATTTAAATAATTATTTATGTATGAAGTACTTGCCAATAATTCGGTGGACGTCGAAAGATCATTTTCTACGTACAAAAATATTTTTAGCCCAAACCGTCATCATTTTACTGAAGATAGCTTATCTAAGAACCTGATAGTGAATTTTTTTTTTATTGCTAACTAGTTAGTCTATTTAATTTTGAAGTAATTTTTTTAATTGCTTTTGATATAAAGTAAATGCCTTTTTTAATATTTTTTCACATTTTAAATGCTTTTTTTATTGAGTATATTGCCTTCAAATCCGAACCTTATTTATCAGTCAAAAATGAAATGCATATAAAAACAGGCAAATTTCTACGATTAAAGTTATAAAAACAACATAATTTAAACTTTTCCTGAATACGTAATTATTCTTAAGTTTTATTTATATTAAGTTTAAATTAAACAATTTGACATTTTTTTCATTTTTTTTTTTTTTTTCAAAATCTATTCTAGTGTAAAATGTGTTCATATATTTTGATTTTAATTTGAATAGTTTTGTATCAACTTTTTACAATACGTTTTATTTTATAAACATAATATCAATTTAAAATGAGTTATGTTTTACTATGTACATCGTATATTTGTAACATTGATTATTATTATTATTATAAATTAATATAACGGATAAACTTTTTTCAAATCAAATGTATTAAATTGTGTATACAACTCGTGTAGGACGAAAAAAATGATTAAATTCTATGTTAATATGTTTTTATTTTTTTTAAATTTTTTTTATAGTTTGAGGATATTCGTATGGTTTTGTGGGATTACTTTTCCCGAGAACATTGACGGTACAATATTTTTTTTAAATCTAACTAGTTGAACTATAAAAATATTCACAAATATACTATACCTACGTCCCGGGAGAGCTGGCTATAAATAAAAAATAATTTCGTTTTTTAATTCTTACAGAAACATTTTTATGTGTTTCAAAAATAACAAATATAGTCCTTACGTGAAATACTATATTTGTTATTAGTGCGCCCGTGGGAAGTGAAACTTCTTTCACAGTTGTTGAGTTTATAAATAATTACGTACATGGCAATGAGATCGAAAGTAAGATGAGAAACATATTAAATCAATCGACTTTTAAAAACATTCACCATAGTTATTTTTTATTTTATCCACAAACTTATGTAATAATGTTATAATAACAATCATAATATTTCTAGGGTTTTCGTAGATGGATTTTCATTTGATTCAATGGGTACCACACAGATATTATTGGTCAATGGCAGCGGTTCCCAACCTAGGGTTCGCAAAAAAAATTGAATATTGGTGAAAAATATCGAATTCGTTTTATTTAAACGATTCGTTTCAAAAATATACAATATATGTTATAAAAAAATGAAAATTTAACTATCATCTTATTGTAATAGAGTACAGAATAAAGAAAATAGAATTGTATATTTATTATAAATGATATTATATTTTGTATATAAGAGTAAATAAAGAAATAAAAATTGAATGCTGATCCAGATTTAAGATTATATATCTTGCATAATTTGAATATGTATTGAAAAAAAAAACTATTTTATTGGAAATAAAGTCAAGCGTCTAACTAAATTTTTATAATATTTTCGTACTTTAAACGTAGAAAATTATTCATTTTTTTTTTGTGTGTTCAATATAATATAAAAATATTTACATTATTACCTTGTATTATATTATTGTTATTTTTTTTTTTTTAATATTTTAGAGTAATTATTCGAAAAAATTTTTAAAATTTATAACGAGGGGGTTAAATCTAGTAAAATATTAAGCTAAGGGTACTGAAGAAAAAGAAGTTTGGAAACCGCTTCGGTCTATGATGACTAATATAGGACATGTGTATTTGTGTACACGATTATTATTTACACAGTCGCTAATATCTTGTCTATTATTATCAATTATCTATATACATGATATTATTGTCACTAATAGTAATCGCAAACGAAAATTTATCGATTCCAATTGTACATAATTATAATAGTAATAGCACCGTGTGAATAAATATTTTACGTAATGTTGCATTTATTTTATTATTATTCACGCGCAATAAAGTTATGATATTACGAATCGAAACCGATTTATTGCAGACTTTCATGGGTCAAGTGTTGGCCATTATGAATATTTAATTTACGACGCAGGGACGTAAGGATAACGCGTCGTCTTCGTCCGCTGAGCCGAAGTAACACGCACGTGATACACTTTTTTTTCCTCTTCAATTAAAAACGGAATTCGATTATTTTTCGTTTACGTGAAATCGACTATAATTTGTCGGAGGATCCACACGAGACATTCGTATTTTTTACGTGTGTGCGCCTTTCTTTTCGTCACAATTCTACAGTAAAAACTGATTATTCCGTAACGTTGTTTATTAATTGTATGCGCTTGAACCCTCGCCGATAATTAGCTAATTAGCAGTAGAATCCCAGGGCGGTAAGACGGTAAAAGTAAACGCATAGTGCACCGCGCGCCCACCACACCACGCGCGTGCAATCCGGCCGTGATGAACGTTTGGTTGCCTACTTTTACGATTTCGGTTGATCCGGTCTTTCGGTCGAATACCATTCGACGATCACAGTCAAGAACTTGGAGTAGAAGTGAACATTTTACGAGAAACAACGGTGTCACAAGATAAATATTTTGATTTATTATTTCGCATACTACATGAATTACAATATTAATAATAATATAATGTATAATAATATTAATAATAGTCAATTGCTCAGTTTCTAGCCAATTAAAATTTCCAGTTTTCACTTTAAAAAAAAAAAAAAATTAAAAAATTAGTACAAGTGAACAATGAAAATTCTTATTGGACCGTTATGTAATATTGTTTAGATTCCAATAAACTTACGTGCTAATCGTTAATAAGTTATTAACTATATAATAATAATATTATGATATAATGTGACTTCGAGGACACATTGCGTTTGAGTAGTAATACGTTTGCCACATGCGATTTTCCACACACATGGCTAGTCGATGGAAAGGAAAAAAAAATAAAATTTTTTTTTATAATAATACACGTAAACCGCGGAAGAACGAAAATGGTAAACTGATAGGAAATGGAAATTTGTTCGTAGGAACGAGAAAAACGTTTCAGCGTTGTCGAACGATGATAACAATAACGATATGGATATATTAATATAATTTTGTCGTCAAAGCGAAATCAACGAGTGATAAAGTCAAACAATTTACAAAACACGTGTAGAACGCTATTACCGAATGGAACACTTAAAATTATAGTTAGTTTGGCACATGCGGATGGCGCGAACAGCATCCGGTTCGTAGTAAAACGACATATAATCCATCCGACTCCATCGAACGGGTGAAAAATAATCTAAAAAATCCGAATCAGTCGTACGGTTAAGAACACAATAAAAAACACCACCGACTCGGATTTCGATGCGCAGTTTCACGAACGTATTAGTCGTTAGTATTAAAGTAGAAATTAATATATGAAAAAAAAAAAACAATTATATTAATCGACACGACATAGTTATAATCGTAATAATAATAATGAGCTGTGCCTGTAAGGCGTCGGCGAGGGGTCTGAGATGGGGGTAGTGGGGGACGTGGGAGGGACGCGCGTGAGTTCGCACGTCGCACTTGCGTTACATATTGCACCTGACCAGCTCGGAGGACACTATTGACTTAGCGCCTCGCGTTTACACGTAATACAAATAATAATACAATTACAGTTAATTATAAAAAAAAAAATTATATAGTAGTTATGAATGGAAATCGACAAAAAAAAAAAAGAAAAGTTAGACGGAAATGTAAAAAATAATCCGGTAACCAACCGGTAAGTGGTCAGAGGGGGGGGGACTGCTCTGTTAACCGCGAGAGACTATTTATTGTTATCACGTAGTCTCATCGCCATCCTGATCGTCCGTACGTAATATCGTTTCATCATAACTTGTACGACACGTCGTTTTCATCCGAATCGTGGAACCATTCAGCCGCGGACACGGTACGACCACCGAACATTCTGCGGCTGGTCGTTGTGGCCCCGGAACTGCTGAACTCGGAGTACTGCTGCTGCTGGTGGTCTCTGTCCCTGGTGGATCGCCGAGATCTGAACGACGACCTGGGCGTGTGGTCGGGGCTGGTCAGATCGTCACCGTCCTCGTACGACCGGATCCGCAGGCCCCAGTTGTTCTCGGTGAACTCGGACGCGGAACGAGCCAGTGACGGTTGACTGAGCGACCGGACCAGGCTGCCCGCGTCGTCGTCCGCGTAATACGATGAGCCGCGCCGCGAATGTTGCTGCTGGTGATGGTGGTAGTTGTACACCGAGCTCACGTCGCTGTAGTTGTCCGGCAAGTCAGGCCGCCGGAAGTCCACCGTCATCTCGCTCATCGACCTGCGTCAAACGGAATCTCATTAGCACACGGATTAGCCAGCGGGATTTTCGTCGGGAACAACGCCCGCCACCCGGGAATGCTGTCGGACGATACATCGTCAAGTGGTGGGCAGAGGCGTATTTAGACTTACTTTTAGGGGAGAGGCGACTCAAATTTTTCAGGCTCAAAATTTACGAGTATAATGTATAGTAATATTTGTGGTTTTTTTTTTTTTTTAATCTAACGCCGGATCCACTTAGAATCGAATTTTGTGTAGTTCTTTTTTAACACTTGTCTGTATTTTGAAAGTTACACTTATGTTTGATTTTTCACCAAGTATAGACCCGATGAAAAGACTAATTCAGTATTCACAGCCACGCGTAATTTGATTCGTTATAAAATGATCCACATTAAAACAATTTGAAATGTGTAGCTCACATTTAATCGATTCCTTAAATACAGATTCAGGGGCGGTAATCGCCCCTTCACCCCCCTAAATACGTCCCTAGTGGCGGGTCGCCATCAAACGCTTGCACGGTGCACAGTAATGTCGGAAAGATCGGAGTCTGGGTCCACTCGATGTCACCGTCCGCACACCATGGTCGACGAGTACCGGGTTCGCGGATGTAGTAACCTACCCCACAATCACCCAGAATAATTATATTTGCATACGAAGCGCGTGATCCTAGAAGTAAGACCTATTTATCACGGTGGTGTGTACAGCTGGAACCGTTTTTTTTATCCTATAAATTAATTCCGTGCAAATTTCGGCCACTTAATGCTGTTCGCGTGCTAAATGTTGGTAAGGAAAACATTTGCGAAAATTATAATTTGGGCTGGCGCAACACACAAGGTTTTTTTTAACGCTATTAGAGTGCGACGGTAAACGTGGGACAGTTCGATTATTGTTCCGCGCGATAGCTTTCGATTTTCAACCGTCGGACATTATAATATTCGAACATTGCCAACTCGCACTCCAACTCGCGAACGCTACGGATCACATTACGGTCGGCGAATTAAAAAGCGATGGCCAATTTTATTTTTCGGTTAGTGCTTCGAGTGATAAATACGTATTATGATGAATAAAAACCGAGCAGACCACATTCACTAAATAATAACCTTACAAACTAGACTAAACCGAAACACAACTGATAAATGTAGTTTACGTCGTATACAACGTGAATCCAGTTACACAACAGATCACCAACGCAAAAAAAAAAAAAAAACAATATTTTTAAATATAGTGGACCAACCTATAACGTGATATAACCCAAACCTAATCTGACCACAAACAAACCGATCAAACCCGGATGATCTCTGTGCGACGGACAACGTTCCCAGGCGTACACGTCATCCACTTGTACAATTATATTTTTGTAATGTTCAATTAACGTATTCGCATGGCATCGATTATCCGCGCTGCTAATTGGCACCAAGGACGATCCCAATTCAATAACGTACGTGTATATAAAATAAATACTAGATTTGTATTTCCACACAACGTAGTGGTGACTTTGAACGCATAGTAAACATTCCCGATAAGGAAGTAATTCATTTCCGATGTCCTAACAGTATCCGGGAACAATAACTATGTGAAACCCACCCTAGCGATATAAAAGTGTAGTTATCTTCTTCTCGAATACGAAGACACTTGCTAACAAAGAAACGGCAAAATATAGCAACTTTTCATAGAAAACTATTATTCAAATTGGATTAGAAAATACAATTATCGTTTGATTTCCGGGTGGCGATAATAATCCCCGAATGCGGAGTCGGTAAAAACCGAGCACCGCGAAGTATAGAAATTGTGGTCGTACATTGAACGTAATAAGTCCTATTATTCGACGCAATATATACTTCTGAGTCAACTGAGTAAAAATATCTAGACTCCACGGATGCAAACGTAAAAGTTAATCGACGGTAAAACACCTGCGTGTTTAAGTTGAACGATTCTAATGTGTAACCACCTCCACTATAAGGTGTGAAAAGGGCCGGCGTGAAGGTAAGGCGACTCAGGCAGTCACATATTTTCAGGGGGGGGGGGGGGGCGCCGAAATTGCTTTTTACAATTTTGTACATATGTCAGTAATATTTTTTTTAATGTAAAATACCCATAACTTTGTTTTAAAATATTGATAATAATTAATGGTTATTTCATTTAGCAGTATATTAAAATAATATAAGTTTATTTTATAAATATATTTACTATGGTCTATCATATAAGTTGCTATCATTTCCAAATACATATTTGTTATCGTTCCATCGGGATTGCGTCGAGCCGTCATGACTCGTAACCAAAAAATTTGACGATAGCAAATTACGTACAAGTTAAGCATAATATATAATTTTTCGGTATTTCTGTTCGAACAACCTTTTTTTCTAAGTATACTGATATTACGGGTTATTGTATGAAAAAGGTGCCAGTTGGCATTTTTGCCTCAGGCGCCATTAAGCCTTACGCCGGCCCTGGGTGTGACCACCGTAATCGGAATTCGGAAAATCGCTAACGCGAAACAAAAATAACAGAGATGTCTGAAAACGTATAGGTACGAAATATTGTGTGCAAACGGTACGGAAATTTTCGACAGACAAGTGCCTGTGCGTTTAAATTTATATAACCTCACCATGATCCACATCTCGTTAAGCACGCACCAAAACCGTGACAGACCTTCTGTGAATCGTGCCATGAATTATGTTCGATACGTATATTTCAAAATTAGATGCAAATAGAATACTATAAAGTAGTAAGGGATGTGATGTGTGTGACATAGTGCACTTGGACTGATAGCTACATAACAAAGAAAAATACTCTCATTCGTGGCGAGTATAAAAAGAATTATTTTGTACGCACTTGTTAATAATATAGTTTTATTCGGTTTTTAAATACTTTTAAAGTCGGCGTGGTTAAAATAATTTAACAAAGTTGTTAAATGGTTTTATGATTCGTCTCAATTAAATTGTAAATCCAAAAAATTGAATTATTAATATATAAGTGCATGATGAATATACCCTTTAAACACAGGACATTATAAATTACTTATCGGGGTGTTTCAAGAATAAATTTGGGTCGACTACAACACGGAAGTTACGTGATTTCTTTTTCTCCTCCCCCAACGTATTTTCAGTCGGGATTTAAAGATAAAATGAAAATAAAATCTCACCTGACATCCATATCGGACTTGAAGCTTGACCTAGACGTCTTCCTGGATCTGGCAGGACCCAAGGGACCGTGATCATCAGCGGTAGTCAATGTCCTGACACTGGAACCGTCGTCCGAGTCGTACTCGTAGACGGTCGGTAGTGAGTTCCTGCGTGTCCTGGCGCCTTCGAATTCAATCTTCTTGTTCTTCGCGTACCTGTTCGAGGAACCTGCAGTCTTTTGGTCGTAATGCTGCTGCTGCTGCGGCGGCGGTGCTATCACACGTATGATAACATCCCATTTCTCCGGTTCGAATATCCGTTCGTATCGCGGGTCGCTGCGGATCCGCTCGAAGTCCTCGCGCACCGTCGCTTCAGTGATCAACTGCCGGAGCGTGGACTCAGTGGTAATGATTTGTCTCCACTTGCGCTTATCTTCCAACGTGAGCGTCTGCTCCACTCGATATCTGGCGGGTGGTCCGCCGGAGGAGGATGGTTCCGGTTCCGGTTCCAGCACTCGAACCAGTGACTCCCAGTTTTCCGGCTTCGGTATCGGAATTTCTGCGGTGCTCAGATACCGCAGATGGTGTTCTTCGCGGCCGACGGAGGACGACAGAGACGTGTTGTACGATTGGATCCGAGACTGGCGGTCCATGGCCGTGGCGGGGTAGCCGGCCACAGACGATGCTTCGGAGTAGCTGTCCCAATCTGTGGCTGTATCTTCGCCGGACTGTGGATACTGCGCGTCAGGATTCGGGTAGTTCTTGATGGTCACGTCCCAACTGGTGGGCGGCGGCATTGGCTTCGGCTTGTACTCGACCACTTCGCGCCGGTGCCGTTCCACGTCCTCGATCGTCTTCTTCTCCGTTATGGTCTTAAGGAATACGTCGTCCACCGTATGCGACGTGATCTCCGGTCGCTTGGTCACCACTACGGGTGGTTCGATCACGTCTACCTGCATCTCACTGGTGTATTTGGACGATTGGTACTGATGGTGTTCTAGCGGTGGCGGCATCATGGGCGGCGTCCGTCGCAACGGGGGCGACTCTCTTCTCTCTAGAGCCATCGACTCCTCCGTCCGGTACCACTCACTCTCGTCCCGGTCCTTGCGTAGCACCGTTGAGTACACGGGCGGTGTGCGCGCCTTAATCGGCTGCGGCGACGGCGACGCCGTGTGGCCGTAATCGTAGCCGTGCTGCTGCTCTTCGACCACACTCATGGTCGTCTCGTCCTTTTCCAGAATTGTGGTCAGGTTGCGCTCCAGCGCCGCGATGCTTACCTCGGACTCGGACGGCGGTGGAGTTGGGCTTGGCGTCGGAGGTGGTGCGCGCTTCACGCGCAGCTGCACGTCGAATTTGGGCTGGACGGCGGGTGGCAATGGCGGTGGCGGCAGCTCGTGCTGATACCTCTCTGCGTAGTACTCCTGTTGGAATGCGCGGTTTTCGTACGAGCCGCCCGAGCTGGGTGACCTACGCAAGCTCCTTCCGTCCAATTCCTCCGCTTCGGAACTAGGTGATTCCGACGGGTAGTCGCTGGGCAACGTGTCGCCCGCGCTCACCAGTGCCATCTCCGAACCCGAGGAGCTATCCAGCGTGGGCGCGCGTGCCCTGGGTATCTTTAGCCCGTCGAACATTGACAGGCTGGAGTCGGACAGCTTATCCGAGCCGACCGACGACAGCGGATGCCGGCGGACCACCTGCACCTGCTGGTTACGCAGGCAGTAATACGAGCAGCCTAATCCCAGCAGCACGAGCGACAGAAATAGTATGCCACATATGATCAACAGGATTTGGAAACCCTTCAGGGGTGGTTCCAGGGGAGTGGACGGTAATACACTACTGCTAACAAAATTATCGTTTTAGTATATTCAAAGAAAATCGTATTGTTTTTTTTAAATTTAAATTTTATTTTTTTTAATTTTTTCCACCAGAGATCATTTGTCTCCCATGTATGTATTTAGGTACAATAATTTCGAGGGGTATTAATTTTCAGGGTAGTGTTGTAGGTGAAATTCAATAGTTTTTGGATTGCGTTGAAGGACATTAATGGTTTCTTCACTCGAGGTCGGACTATCGTCCGAAAAATGAAACCATTACCTGCGTTCAGGTTTTAACCGGTGCAACGACTGTGCATTTTCAGATGCAATCATTTTATTCGACTCTTCTAAAACTATGACTTTCCCTTAAAAATAATCTGGATTATCATTTAAACCAAAATTATGAAGAAATTATATAGTAATAACCAGAGGGAAATATAATATTTCAAAACCTGTTATTAGTAATATGATTATCATGCAACATAAATACTTAAAATTTACGACCAATAACAATGAATGTACAATGTAACCTCTTAAACCAATATTTACTGCACTCGGATCCTTGAAATATAAATATCCTTATAGTTATTATCAGGGCTCGAGACTTATAGCATTTGCATATTTTTTTGTAGTTTATGAAAAGATAGCAGAATAAGCAATAAATCCATTTCAGACAAAAATGAACTCAATTCTAAAATTTTTTAGTGCATATTTTTGCATATTCTAGAGGTTTTGCTATTTTTTCGACTATTTTGCTATATATTGCTAATTAATGTAAAAATCGAAAACTCAGTCTTGCAAAAATACATATTTCGACCACTTATTAGTGATCAACAGTTTTGGGACGTTATAAAACTCATTGTCGATTGAAAAAAATATTCCTAAAATATCCCAATGCAAGTAAATATTGTGTTTATCGTATCTTTTATCTTAATGTTGTTGTTGTACAAAACATTATTAAGCAATAACAGATCTTTCAAGTTTGAAAATATTCGAAAACATATAATAAGTGCAATTATGAAGGTTCACACTGTAAGTTACTTTTTAATTGGTTTATTGATTTGAAATAATTATATTTTACAGATTGGCAAAATTCGACACATACAAATCAATAAAAACAGGAAAGAGTTTTTAGTCATTATTTGTAGAAAATTAACTGTAAAATTATATAAAAGTTTTTCTTTAAATTTTAATAATTATAAATTCATAAATGTCTAAATAAAAATATTAAATAAATAATTTTTAAAGCATATTTTCATATTTTTAGTGCATATTATAGCGCATATTTTACATTTTTTCGGTGCATATAATAGCGCATATTTCATGATTTATTAGTGCTATAAGTCTCAAGCCCTGGTTATTATCATAACCGTTAAACTTAAATAATTTCATCGAAATTGCTTTTCTTGGTGAGATAATTATATAACGTATATACGTGGTTCAAGTCGGTAGTCGAATAATTAAATAATAGCGTTTGAAATGATTTTCGATTTCTAAAGATCAATAATTTAATTAAAAATTATAATAATATATATGCCAAGTCAGGTGTATTAACTACCTGCGCACCTCAAAAACTTATGATAACGACCTTGATCGGTTATAGTTATAGTTTGTTTTATTATTTTTTTTTTTTAATTATTAATATATCATTGTTTTCCAATGTCAACGTTCTATCAGTACAGCGATAACAATAATATCATATAATTTAGGTTACGCACGATGGAAATATTTGACGTTCATATTGTTTAAACTTACATTTTGTTCGGTATACCAGCCGGTGGTGGAGCGATGGGCGGGGGGTACCTGCAGACTATTGTCACTACTTCATCTCCATCCATTTCCAGGTAAGGATGAAACCTGACTACGATATTGTTGGTGAAAACTCTTTGCGGATCCTGAGAAGCGGAGGAGAAAAAGCATAGTATTAAAAACCGAAAAATGAAATAAAAAAATGATTTTCGCACGGTTCTACTACGTACCTGTCTTGTACCACATCCTTTTAACGGTAAGTCGATCCTGGCCGTGTTGTTACCCTTACCAGTTACTGAGCACGCGCTGCTACGGTCGAAATCTGCATAAGCTCGACCGTAAAATGGTTCTTCGAACTTCAGTTCGATCTGAAACCAAAAATGAGAATGAAAATAACGGCTAAGATGCGGGAACTTGTGCTTAATACGCATGATTTAAAGTATTGTATATACTGTTAAATTTATTGGAAAAAGAAGTATTTTCGATTTAAAGTATAAAATTCGAATTGATAACAGTAATATTAGCTCTATTCGATTCGAAAAAACGTCACAAAAATATTATTTATTCTTCGTCAAATAAGATCGGTTTTCGCTGACGATTGCTTCGATTCGGAAAGAAATATTACATAAAAAACGTTTTCGATATCGAAGGCAGAAATTGTTCTAGACAATAAAGTGCTATCAAACTGTTGTCGTGATTTAGATCGCAACATCATTCTTAACACTATAATGAACTTCCGAGTAGCCGGACACAATCGTGTGACACGATTTTTTGCAGGGGATTTCGGACTGTCAAGAATCCACTACAACTGCAGTGTTGCATCATGCTGACCTGCATGTATCCTGCGGCGCAGTTCAGAGCCGCTTTGGTCCTGTTCAGGAATATCACGGGTGACAGTTCGTCCAACTTGGTGACCTTGCCGTCCAGTACCGTGGATTCGGGCAGGCCTTTGTCCGGGCTTGGGAACTCGATGCTGTTCTCCACCTGGTCGTAGTTGGACTGGGCTACGACCACCGTCGCCAAGACGAACGGCAGCAGCAACATACGTAGCCATTGAGCTCCACTGTGCTTAGCCATTAGTCGGTTCTAAAAGAAAAAACAAACGGAAAAACGGTTTCATTAGTAAAATGTATAATAATAAATTTTAAAAAAAGATAATTGTTTTTTACATTTATGTTTCATTTTTTTCCCCTAAATATTTCCGATCTGAGGAACCGAGGACGTGGCTCGAGTAGATCACGAGTGTAAACCATTTCGTTTGCTGTCGACGCCGACAATAATAAATGTGTGGTCGCCAAGCAATGATAAACGCGCGCAAGTCGAAAGTGAAACGTCGCACTTGTCAAGGGCGGATTGCTTTTTACCATTCACTGGAGCAAACCGACATTGCACAATGCTACGCACACATCGGTCGGCAGCTGCTATGTCTCTGCCTACCTCTGCCAGCAATGAGACTATGTGTACACGATTTCATGCAAATGGTTCCGCCCAAGTATCCTTGCGGTATTCGTTTGTACACACGTAATACACAGATAGACGGACGCACACGAATACACACACACACACACACCCCTTAACGACTATCACGCGCCCCCGGTGACATTTCCAGGAATTACAAAAAGGAATCTTTTTGTACAGGCAATACTTAACTTTTAAAATCGGTTATATTATTTGGACGTTTTGATTTCAAATTTTAGAATAAGACTAAAGTATAATAATATCAACGACAAAATGTGATTTAAATAATTAAATTTTTGCTGCTACGTAATTCAAAAAATGTAATATGAATGTTATATTACATTTATTTATCGACGATATATTCAGTAAGGTTTCCGATTCACAAAAGCGAATGATGGTTGATTAAAAAAATTAAAATAAAACATTTTATTTGTCTCGTTATTTATAATATAAGTACGTACACATGCGCATTGATTATAATATACATCGTATTATAACATAAAATTCTGATTAACTGGATAGAAAGAATTTCACTACAACATTGCTGTGACTTAAATCATTCGGTAAAATTATAACATTTTTGAAAATTTAAACGATTACGAGAACTTTTTCAATTGAAATTCTAACAGTTTTCGTAAAACATTAAGAACTGTTCTTGGAAAACGAGAAAAAATAAATTACGTTAGTATCGATTCCAAAGAATACAGTTGACGTTACTATATTTTTCCCATGTTCACTACGAGTTTTTGTTTTCGCATAACTGTCAAATAAATATTACAATATTATAACGGAAACGTGCCGCGGCAGTTTAGGAAACAATCACGACCACGGTAGTTCTTATGACAGACGCGTACACGGTAAGTAATGCATTTTCTCATCATATAATTCTAGTTATGAAAATTCACGAAAGCAGTGTATATAATTATAATCTCGTTTGCCGGCTTATCTGCAGTGCTTGTTGTGATGACGAAAATGACGACTCACAAGACTTTTCGGCGGGGCGGGTAAAAATCAAATTTTTTTTACTAATAAAAACACTCGGTGGACGAGTAGGAGGAGGTTCCTCAAAGTCGCAACGAACTCAAGGTTGACACGCGGTCGCGGTGGGTAGATAATGTCCTAATCATCATTCTTTGGGTCGAAAAATGATAAAAAAAGTAATATAGTAAATAAAATCAGCAAAATAAAAAATATATAATGATAAATACAGAACTGCATATTAAACGGCTATTGTGCGTCCAAGGAAACCTGTCTCTCTCTTTCATTCTATCTGTATATTTACAGACCATCCGTATGCATTCAACAAGTATTCTAAAACTAATAACGTGCATCGCAATAACTTCCGATTAATTTGCGTTTGATACGCACGTACGACTCACGATAACAATAATAATAATTGTCGTGAAGAAATGTGAGGCGCACGTGTGTATTTTTTTCCCCGGCGTAGTTTTTTTTTTGTGTTTCCCGAAGATTTTTCATTGCCACGGTCTCCAACCTAATTTTCGACCGCCACCTCATTTGCCTCAAGACAAAGGATAAGGGGTGTACGTTATATTAAATTATCCCGACGATGATCTATAATCTCGCCCTTGAACGCCTCCGTACACGTGTCGACGATAAACTCGCGAAGTATTCGTACGCAATGTATTGACCGTACTCCTATATACAAGGTGGTATTCAGTACGAAACGACGAATTAAATAAATTATGTTCTGTTCATCATTGTTTCCATTTTTTTTTTTTTACAAAAATTTTTATGATGATTTGACGTTTAAATTAGTTGTTTAAAAAATTTTTACTAGAAATCAAAAATTTAACATTTTTTCGTTCTACCGTTTTAGAAAATAAGTTAAACCAGCCATTTTGATAATTATTCAATGACAACAGTTGGAGGTCAATCCTTTTATTTTCTGTGATTCTTTTAAAATTTATGATTATATTGTAATAAAAAATAATACCAAAAATAATAACCATTAATAAATACATAAAAAACAATTCAATTTTCACTGACTTAAAAATCGCAGAATATAAACAGATTAACCTGCGTCAAAAGACTATAGAATATATTTACAAATATTTTGATTTATAAAGGCTGTTTAAATTTTTTTTCCATACGGTGAAATAGAATATAATTTATTTTAGTTTCAAGTTAAACAAAACAAAAATAAATTAACTAATACAAATATATCACAACGTTTTAATTTAAAAAAAAAAATAAAAAAAATATTAAATTAAACAAATGTGTTATCGCGTTAATAAAAAAAAAAAAAAAAAAACACGCAGAAACACATCCTGTAAAATGTATAGGTATTATACGCGTTATATTGTTATAACCTAACGCGATGGCATTTAATCTTCCAGACGGATCGAAATTAATCACCCCGTCGGAACACGCGAGAGAAATGTCGTCGTCCACGTGCACGGGAATGTGGTGGATAAAAAATAAAAGTGGAAAGCGAACGAAAACAAAAAGAATGCGTTGTACGAAAGAAATAATAAATATAGTTTGCGCTTCGACCTTCTTGTATCGATTACACAATAAAATAATAAATCTAATAAATATCACTGTTATTATTACTAGTACTGTACTCGTACAATATGCTATCGTTCGGGATAACTATTATGTGTAAGCGAAACGTCAGATTTTTAACACTTTGTAACGCGATTCACGTACTGTTACGATGCAACGTACCATAATAGGTACATCTGACGGGATTCGTGCACCAAGGTTTCGGCAACAAATCGAGTGCGTAAAATATATTACCATATACTCGTAGTAACAAGATGTATTATTGTAGTACAATTGGAGATAATATTCATGCACCTCATCAAGTTATGGGTGACAATTTTTTTTTTTTTTTGTTTTACCATGAGACCCTCCTCCCCCCGAGAGGTTAAATATCGCAGTACAATATTTTTGCACTCGTAATGTCACAATTACAGTTAATCTCTCGAATTCACAAAATAATAATATTATATCATCAGTAGAATCCATCGGAATGTACGAATTTTTTCCCGTTTTCAAATTAAAAATAAAATCCGTTCATAGTTCAAAAGTTTGCACATTACGTCTCTTCAAATAATATATACTACGCATGTAGGGATTATTCTTAAACTATATATATATATATTCCATAAGATTATACAGGCGTACAACACTCGCCAAAGTGAATCAACAACGGTACCTACTAATATATTACTGTAACCTTTTGAACGCGATTTACTTTTATGAAATATATACATAAAAGTAATTCTACTTAGATTTTTTTCGATATTTTATTTTCAGATGTATTCGATCGAAAACGAAAAAAATCGTTAAATCCAAAGGAACGTACTGCGGTTTTTCACACTAGAATCTTTTAGAATTATATTCGATTAGAGTAAATTCGCGTCGAACAGTAAAAGTTTGATATTACGCATGACCCGAAACGTACAATACGGTCTCCGATTAGGAACGAAACCTAACTGGTAGCTGCGTGTACGATATTATGTACGGTATTAAATTGATACGATGCGAGCGGTACGACGCGTTTTCACAATAACATAGCGCGGCGCTACAAACAAAATAACAATAATAACAACGCATTATAGCGGTGTGCCGTAATCGCGTTTGAATATTTTACACAGTTTCTTATCTAACACATCTGCGTGCGCGTATATGACTGCCTAATATTATAACAACGTACAATATTGTACGGGTGTATAACCTAATGCAAAACTAACCCGTGCACCTGAAATTATCTGTCGGTAAAGTTATCACAAACCGAAGCGTGACCAAACCGTAAAATGGAACTCTCTCTCTAATTCAATTTGACCGCAATTGCGCAATTATTATTCGCGACTGTTGTAAACATAAACATAAACATCTATTACAGTTACACGTGCGTCCTACCCTTTCGACGGTTTTCCGTTTGAACTTTGGTCTTCGCGAGTTGCACGTCTTGCACTAGTGCAATTTTCGGTCTTCGTTCTTACAAAGAGTCCTTCTGAACACGTCACTATAACTAACCAGTTGACTAAGTCGAGTCCGTATGTAATCGAAAAATCACACTACCAACATTTAACGTCAATTTTAAATATTTCTTGAAAACAAATTTAGAGATTCATTTTTTTAAAACGTCTTACGTTTTCACAAGTGGATTAGCAGCCACATCCAAGTCACACAGGTTAGGTTAACAGGACTTTCGTAGATACCATTATTCGAGTAAGTGATGGGAAAACCTGTAAAAATGTTATATGAAACCGCATAAATCAGATCTACAGACACGTAAGACCAAGTTTCGGCTGGTATAAGTGATTGAAAAATCCGGTACTCAGTGTAAGCTCTCTCCGAAATCAACCAGGACTATATTTAATCCTAACGCCGTGAGTTTTCAATCGGTGTGGTGGGATCGATTTGAATGCATCGAGATTACTCCGGAGGCGACGCGTGAACATCAGGACGCGTGTCAAGATCACCGGATATGGCTTCAGCCGCCCATGAGTAGACGTGTTTTATATCTATATTACGTTTTATACTAACGACTGATAAATTTACTGAAAACACGTTCGAGTGATGGACTTGCGTGCGCAGTGTATAGTGCACGTAACTAATAAGTACAATGTGGTGAAAAAAAAATATTGTCGGCG